AATGACCACAAACTTAATGGTTTAAAACAATAGCCACTTAAATATCTAACGTCAACTATAATTGAAAAATAATAATAAAACATATCCATTCAGGCAGGCTTGACTGGATTCTCTGCTTAGGGTCTCACAAAGTTTAAGTCAAAGTACTGACTGAATTAAGCTCTTATCTAGAAGTTCTGAGTGAATCCAAGCTCACTCAGGCTGTTGGCAAAATTCAGTTTCGTGTGTGTGTGTGTGTGTGTGTGTGTGTGTGTGTATGGGTGGGTGTATTATTGATTTTAAAGAGGAAGGGAGATAGAAATATTAATGATGAGAGAGACTCATTGATTGGCTACCTCCTACACCCCCATAACTGTGTATCAAATCTGCAACCCAGGAATATGCACTGACCAGGAATCAAACCATGACCTCCTGGTTCAAAGGTTGACACACAACCAGAGCCACACCGGCCAGGCAGATTCAGTTTCTTAAAATTATAGGACTGAGGTCCCCATTTCTTTGCCGGCTGTTGGTTAGGGGGTCAATTTTAGGTCTTAGAGGCCACTTTCCAATTCTTGCACATGGCCCCCTCCATCTTTAAAGTCAGAAACAGCACACCTTCCTTCATATCTCTGATTTCTCCTGGCACCTGAGAAAGCTCTTTGCTTTTAAGGGCTCATGTGATTAGAACAGGTCCACAGGGACAATCTTACACTTAGTCAACTGTGCCATGTAATACTTAAGTGTTATATCCAATGAAATTAGAGCAGGTCTGGGGATTAGAGCAGGACATTTTAGGTCATTTTTTAAAATTGATTTTACACAGAGAGGAATTGAGAGGGATAGTTAGAAATGTCGATGAGAGAGAAACATCGACCAGCTGCCTCTTGCACATCCCCCACTGGGATGTGCCCACAGCCAATGTACATGCTCTTGACCAGAATCGAACCTGGGACCTTTCAGTCCGCAGGCCAACGCTCTATTCAGAGCCAATCCGGTTTCGGCCATTTTAGGTCATTTTTAAAAATCCTGCCTACCATAGCACTTACTCAAAAGATGAGAGAAAATTAGCTCTTTTGGGGTTTAGAGAGAGAGGAAGTGGGAATAAACTATCTAACCATTTACACTACTAGAAGAAGCCAAGCATTTGAGACTAGGCCTGACCTTATCCCTGGTATTCTATCCATCTTGTACTCTGCCATTTATAAAGTGACTGCTTTAATCACAATGTACTAGTACTCACAGTGCCTCGAGATAGACATTTTAAGGAATGCCTGGGGACTAAAAAAAATTTCCTATGTTTTAGTTTTTCTTCATCAAACGTTCAGAACATAAAGTGGCCCATAGTGTGTTCTAAGAATACATGTTGAAAAATGCATATCTTGCCGAAACTGGTTTGGCTCAGTGGTAGAGCGTCGGTCTACGGACTGAAAGGTCCCAGGTTCGATTACGGTCAAGGGCATGTACCTTGGTTGCGGGCACATCCCCAGTAGGGGGTGTGCAAGAGGCAGCTGGTCGATGTTTCTCTCTCATCGACGTTTCTAGCTCTCTATCCCTCTCTCCTCCTCTCTGTAAAAAAATCAATAAAATATATTTTAAAAAACAAACAGAAAAAGAAAAATGCATATCTTTAGGTATGGCTCAATAAAAAGTTTCATTGCTCAAAACTTGGGAGGACTGGGACAATATTCTGTACTCATCAGTGTGATGCTACTCTTCTTTATCTATTTCAGAATTCAATTCACATTCCTTCATCTCATCTCTCTTGAATGGAGTTAAGAAGGCAGAGTAACCTTTAGTTCCTGGACACCAACTTCAACTAAATCAACAGTGTTGTTTCCTTAACAGCTCTCTCATCATGATGATCCGAAAAGGCTCCCAACTAATAAATCTATCCTGAAAGGGAGGCTGGAACCGTTCCTCATCACTGCTATTAAGCATTCAGATGATTTCAGATTAGGATGGCAGAAACCTACAGACACTTCTCCCCTGGTACTGAAGAAACACAACGGAATCTTGAAACTGAGGAATAAGAGGGAAGTAAGCCTTGCTGCCTTCAGAATCCCGGAATTCTCTCCCCAAATGCTTTACAGCCAGACTTTAAATTTTAGATGGTCTATGATACCCGTAATAGGTATAAGCTGTCTAGAAAATGCCCATAATGTACTCTGAACTCCACGAAAAATGAGAAAACAAGTTAAAAATAAATATATGTTAGACTTTGATGGCACCATCCTTTCCAAAGACTCAATGTATCTCTATTGCACACAAATAATTCCTAGGATGTGAATTATTATCCCTATTTATACTGGGAGAAACTGAGGTCCTAGAAAAAGGTATTTGTTAGTGATCTGCTCATTGTCACAATGGACAGTAGTATAAGAAAGACTAGAACTAATCTCCTAATTTCAAATCATGTGCACTTTCTAACTACAAGGACAGGTAGAAAGCTTTTACTCCATAATGCTATCAAAATTGGAAAAATCTTCAGCAAATTTGCTCTTGGACCTTCTCGGCTAAAACATAGCACTTCTCTACCCTTTTGTTGGCAACCTGGGTTGCCATCTCTCTTGGGGCCTGAAAGAGGATCCAGATTGCCTGCTTCCTCTTAAAGAAATTTGCTTCCCAGCTTCTTGCAGCTCATCTCATCATTCACCTCAAGAGAGAACAAAAACACATGGGCCACCAAGCTGTGCTGTCTCTAAGCACCTATGTTGTTAGAGGTTAGCTAGATTCAATCCCAAAGAGGGTCAAGGAAAGAAAACAGATTACTCTGATCTGATGACTCGGGAAAGGTATGGGCGACTGAGGCTACTACTAGAGGTTCAAACCCAGGGGACCCCAACAAAAGGAGTATTCCTCATTTCCAAATATATAGATACCTTCCACATACTCTTGACTGGAGGAGTTTTTGTGAGGTCCATTTTGAGCCCCACAGACCAGAATAGTTATTTGAGGATGTATAGCAATCTGAAAGCCAACTGTAGATAGGATTCCTATCAACCCCTGATCACAACAGCAAAAGGGCAAGGGTGAATGGTTTGAGGTGACCTGTTTCCTGCGTATCTGTCTACCCTGGGATCAAGTCTCTGCCCTGGGCTTTAATTTTATAGTATTGATTGAACTAAAAGAAAACACATTTTGGTGAGATACATTATCATTTCTGAAAATATTTTACTCAGTTATTTCAAACAGATGTAAGAGAAAGCTTAGTGAAGGTTGACCTAGCCTTTAGAAAATATAATTCTTTACCAAACCTGATACTAACTCCACTGTCCAGAGTCCCTATTGATGGCATTTTAGTTTTTTGTTGTTGATTTAATATTCACTGGAGGATATTTTCCCCATTGATTTAAAAAAAATTTTTTATTGATTTCAGAGAGGGAGAGGGAGAGGGAGATAGAAACATCAGAGAGAATCATTGATTGGCTGCCTCCTGCACAGACCCTACTGGGGATTGAACCTGCAACCAAGGTACATGCCCTTGACCAGAATTGAACCTGGAGTCCTTCAGTCCACAGGCCAATACTCTCTCCACTGAATGAAACCGACTAGGGACCTATTGATGCGTTTTTTGTTTTAAATATATTTTATTTATTTTTTACAGAGAGGAAGAGAGTTAGAAACATCGACGAGAGTCATCGATCAGCTGCCTCTTGCACACCCCCCACTGGAGATGTGCCCGCAACCAAGGTACTTGCCCTTGACCAAAATCGAACCTGGGACCTTTCAGTCCGCAGACCAACGCTCTACCACTGAGCCAAACCGGTTTCGGCGTATTGATGCATTTTTAAAGGAAAATGTTTATTTTGTCCTTTCTTTCTTGGGAAAATAACAAATCCTAGAAATACAAAGATGAACAAAACATAGTCTTTGCCCCAAGAAACTTGACAATCTAATATGGAAGATAAGGCATATACAAATCCATAATTTATCAGACCATATAAACATTATAACGGATATGTGTTCTATAGTTCTTTATGAGTTAATGTTCATTTGACTGATGGTGAAGGAAACCAGGTAAGAGCTTCATGGAGGAAGAGGCAGCATTTAAGCCGTCTTTCAGAATAACAGGGAGAGTTTGAAAAAAAAAGTAAGCAAAGATTCAGAGAAAGAAAGAAAGAGATGGCCAAAGGGCAAGGCCTGAAGTTAGGATAAGGACAGGAACACAGGGAAAATATTTAGAAAATGACAATTAGTTCACTTTTGGTAATGTATGGAATAAAACATTGAGCTGAGAAAATTGAGGTCAGACTGTTTTTTGAATTGATAAATGGTAAAACCAGTTCTACGCTTGAGGATTGACTTGGCAGTGGTGGGTAGAAGTAAAGCTAAAATGAAGAGACTAGAGGCAGGTTAGTTATGAAGTTACTGCAACAGACCAGGTTGGTGGCAATGAGGGCCTGAGCCAGGACAGCCACAGTGGAAACAGAGACTATTAGTCATAATTTTAAGCCAGCACTTAAGCTGCCACTGACCTAATCATCTAAGGCAGTGGTCAGCAAACCACGGCTTGTGAGCCACATGCGGCTCTTTGGCCCCTTGAGTGTGGCTCTTCCACAAATTACCACAGCTTGGGCGAGTCTATTTTGAAGAAGTGGTGTTAGAAGTTTAAAAAATTTGGCTCTCAAAAGAAATTTCAATTGTTGTACTGTTGATACTTGGCTCTGTTGACTAATGAGTTTGCTGATCACTGATCTAAGGTAAATAACAGGCCATGGCAGGTGAAAATTATCAAATTATTCAGCTTGAAGAACAAGGGAGGCCAGACCCATGTTGAGTTTAGAATCATCACCACCCTTGAGGCCTTATACTCTCACCAAGGCACTCAGCCAACTGTGGAAAAGAAATATACACAGGAGACTCAAGAAACATCTTATTAATACAGTATTTATTTGTCTTCCTTTTGTCAAACCCTGAGCCAACCACTTTCCCCAGGCTGCCTGGGAGGTATAGGAAAAGGTGCGTACAGGGCAGACGAGACACGGGAAAAAGAACTATGGGAGGTGGAGACGGCTCCTTCACATGGCGAAGAGGATGAGAAAGGCCACCATCAGGCAGAAGAGCCCCATGGCCTCTGAGAGGGCAAAGCCCAGAATGGCGTAGGAGAAGAGCTGTTGCTTCAGAGAAGGGTTCCTGGGAGAAGGGGAAGAAAAAAGACTCAATTTCGAGTCCACATAAAGAAAAGCGTAAACATCAAAGGTGGGCTCAGGGAGAATTCATCTCCTCAAGCTCATCTTATGAAACAGGTTTCTCAGGGTGATACTATCATTCCCAAATTCTTGACCTGACACATCAAGGGCTCTAGAGACTAAATGAGGGGAGTGGACAATCCAAAACTGTATAACATGGCCCAAGCACGAACATTACCCCTCTACTGGGTCATCCATGTCATGGTCATAACTTAAGACCTCTGGCTGGAACTTACCTATCGAGGGCCCAACCAGGATGGAAGAGGTATCTGGAGGGGCATGACCTATCATAGTATTTTCAACTTTTAAACAGCAGAACCCCCAAATAGAAAATATATAAAAGCCAAAATGCAAAGGTAAAAAAAGTGGGGGGTTGTAAAAGTTTGTTTGGCTGGTCTCCCCGTCATTCTTCTAAGACAGTCTCTGGGGTTTACCCTCAGAACCCTAGGGCTTTAAGAGCACAATTAGAAAAACATTGTCCTAGAGGACAAGGGAGTCTGAGAAAAACACTACCTTCTCTCATTTCAAAATAGTCAAAAGATTTGGGACTTTAAGAAGTTATACAGAGCCTATGGGGTTTTATGAATCAAAATGGTATAAAGAACTCCCAACTCTGAAAGCCAATATATAATTTCTATTTCCCTTCCTCTGTCACCTCTGGAAGCCTTCATGGTAAAGTAAAGCAACATCAGCTTTGAACAGAATTCTGGACACAGAAGCAGTTAGGCTTCTTGTTTCACACAAACCTTAAAACAAACTCATTTTCCCAAAGACATTAAGAGAACTTGAGGGCCTCTAGAGAATTAATTTAGTTTTAACAGCAAGGTGCCCAGAATTGGTGGGGACCAAGCAGTCCCAAGTGTCAGGGAGCAGTGGGCCTGGCTACGAAGGCAATTTTCCCAGGAGTGACAGAGGGGACTTCTCGGGGATGGGGAGAAATAGCAGTGAAACGCTACTGACTCTAGACCAGGGGTAGCAAGCTTTTTCTGTAAAGGGCCAGACAGTAAATATTTAGTTTTTGCAGGTCAGATATGGTCTCTGTTGCCTTTTTTTTTTTTTCATGACCCTTTAAAAAAATGTAAAACCCATTCTTAGCTCAGCTATAAAAAACAAGTTATGGCCCCACCCACTTTAGTTTGCCTACTCCTGCTCTAAACCAAAGCTAACGTATATTTGCACTGTCTAGTAGTCACTAGTCACACATGGCTACTGGGCACTTGAAATATGGCCAGTGTGACAGAAAAACAAAAAACTTAAACTTGGTGTACTTTTAACTGAAATTTAAATTCAAATAGCCACATGTGGCTACTATATAGGATAATGTAGCTCTAGATCCCTAAATTTTTCTGTCCGAACCTTTGGAAAACATATCAGAGACCAATGGAGGGCCCATCTTACCTGGCATAACCAATGATGAGGCTCCCAAACACAGTCCCAATTCCAGCCCCAGAGCCTGCCACCCCTACTGTGGCAGCCCCAGCCCCAATGAACTTGGCTGCTGTGTCGATGTCCCTTGAAACGGCACTGGTTTGGAAGCTGCGGCTAGAAACAAGCGAGGTCAGGGGACGTGGGGCTGCCAAGCTGCTGCGGCTCTGTGAAGAGGAGGAATATAGGAGATAACACTTTTAGGAATCCCCTTTTTGCTTTGGAAACTTCTGTAAACTTAAAGAGAGCTTTATGCTGTCAAATCCCATCCCCCCACAAACAGAAAATCTTTTACTTTCTAGAAAACTTCCTAAAATGCTGCCAAGGAAAACTTTTTAATATAAGAGGTAAACATCAAATACCTTTAAAATTCAAGTATGGTCTCTAAGATCAAAACCCTAGCCTGTGCTTGGTATGTTCCAAATGAAATCTGTAAATTAGGCCAAGTAATGGCAGTCATCAGTAGCACACATAAGCATGTGCTACCAGTGCCAGGCTGGAGCACTAGAGCATATATGCTACCAACTGTTCTGCATCTCCACCTAAAACCAATGGCCTCCATCCTTCACTAATTTTCCTGAGATGACTGCCCCCAGCACTCCCCCTACTGGTTCTTCTAGGTAAACCCCCACACTCCCTTAACCCAAACCACAGGCCCAACTCCACCTATAAGGTACCTCATCTGTCAGTGTCTCTGGTCGTTTCAGCACCACTGCAGACATTGACCTGCTCAGCTGAGAGGTGCTCCTGACCTAGATGGAATGACACAAGGACAAGAAAGTCAAGAAAGGCTCTGGAGAGGAGTTTCAGAACAATCCAAAGTTGTTATTCAATGCTCCTTTCATTCTTTCAAACTTAAATCAGAACGTTAGGTCATTCTTTTACTTTTAGCTAATTCTAGATTGAAGAAACTCATCATTTCTCTCTTGCTTCCCAGGCTTCTCCTTTGCTTAAGAGAAGGAAATCTTCTTTTTAAGGGGCTACCCTCACTGTATCCTTCCACAGGCCTTGAGAATGGGAAAAGGTATAAGCCTCAGAAGGATTTGCTTCACTCAATAAGAGATTTATGTTGGTACTGGCTAGCCCATAAGAAGGAAGCCAATGGCTGGAGTACCTTTCCCTAAATACATCCTTCTTTTAAAGATAGGCACAAAGATCCAAGCTCTAAATTCACCACCTTCTGTTAGCCTTTCTAAGCTCAAGCCAGTATCTCCAAGGCAGACAGGGTGGTTAACAGCCAGGGCTTTAATCAGATATATCTAGATTCATCTTTCTCTATAATCAGCTGTGTGACCTTAGGATAATCACTTATATCTAAGTCTGCTTTCTCATCTTCAAATGGAAATAATCTATTTCAAGGTTGACTTGAGGAATAAAGGTTGTGTAGCCCTAGCTCAGTGGTTGGCAAACTCGTTAGACAACAGAGCCAAATATCAACAGTACAACGATTGAAATTTGAGAGTCAAATATTTTAACCTTAAACTTCTTCTAACGCCACTTCTTCAAAATAGACTTGCCCAGGCCATGGTATTTTGTGGAGGAGCCACACTCAAGGGGCCAAAGAGCTGTATGTGGCTCGCGAGCCGTGGTTTGCCTCAGTAGACAGAGCATTGGCCTGCGGACTCAAGGGTACTGGGTTCAATTCAGGTCAAGGGCAGGCACCTCCCTGACCTGGCCCTGGTCAGGTCACATGCAGGAGACAACAAATCGATGCATTTTCCTCACATTGGTGTTTTGTTTCTTGGTCTTTCCCTATCTCTTCCACTCTCCCTAAAAATCAATGGAAAAATATCCTCGGGTGAAGATTAACAAAAAAAAAGATTGTGTATACAAACTGGTTGTGTATACAAACTCAGAGCAAGGCCTAGTATGTGCTCAATAAGTAGTACCCACCAATAGCATCACTTCCACCACTTAATAATTTGTAATTTCTTCCATGCTAGTGCTTCTGAGTAAAAGATTTTTCCAATGTGTATTTACATGTATGTTAGCTTCCCACCCAAATTTAAGCTCCCAGATGGTCTCTTAGCCATGGCTCTCCGACAGGACAAAATCCTGTGCACAGTGCATACTCAATGCAAGTTAGGCAATCTACTTTATGTTTACCATTTCTGGCTGGGTTCCAGGTTACAGACAGTTTTAGGGTTAGAAATAACCTGATCTCAGTCTAGATTCTCACTTAGACTCTTCTAAGATTTTTGGACAAGAAGAATTAACTGGCATCCAAAGGATATGGGGCAGGTAAACATTCACTGTCTCTTGTCAAGCTAGCATAGCAAAGGATCTTCCCCCAGCCCTACTGTCCAGAACAAGGTGTTGCAAGGAAGAGACAAAATGCCCCTCTTGAAAAGTCTCCTAGAAAAAGCAGGTACTCACCAGGGAGGGGGTGGAGACAAACTTGGTGCAGGCATACATTTTCAGGGGATGAGGGGAGCTGGAATTACAGAAGCACATTATGAACACTGTCCTTGCTCACTAAGTGACATTTTTAACAGCATAAAGGAGGCTCTGGAAAATTTAAATGGCCCAGAGAGCAGAGTGACTGACCTCAAGTCTTAGAAGAGATGGAAATCAGAACTCTGAAGGCAAGATTTCCTTATAATCAACAGACTTCCGTGGTCTGAGCAAATAGCCACTTGGTCCGTTTTAAGACCCACTATTTACTTCCATAGCCTAAAGAGTTGGGGTTGTCAAGAGGAAATTTACTCAGTGTCATTTGCCCAAGTTTCCCTCAGTTTCTATTCAAAAGGAACCCTTTTTAAGACCTCATTACCTGGGCCTAAAAAAGTTGCCCTGTAAAGACTCCTGGGAATTATTTGCAGAAAGCCAAAACACTGGAAGGGTCACCAATGATTTTTTAATTACCTTTAAGCATTTGATTCTCCATTTCCTCTATCAATTAACAGGGCGAAGAAGATCAATGAGGAATTTTGCCATTACTCTAATTAGCAACAACTGTTGAAGTATTCATTTTCACCATCACACTGAGGGGCATTCAATTTTGTATACACAAGATCTAAAACAATGCTGACACTCTGTAGGTGCCTAAGTTGGTAGAATTGAACTTATCTAAGAGGTATATCGGGTGAGTTAAACATCTAAAGGCAGGGTTTTTCCAAGGGAGGCAAAAGGCCCACCTGAACTAATTATCTAGGTGTAAGGATGTGTGTATGTATTAAAAATGCATATTCTTGGGTCTCACCTTAGACCTTCCTGGTCAAGATCTCTGGGGTTAAGGCCAGCACCTGTATTTCAAACAAGCTTCCCAAGTGATTCTTATCCATACTAAAGGCACCATCTAACAACCAATCTTAAATTATGACAGTGGTAAAGCCAGGACTTTAACTGTCCTTACTAATAAATGAAAGCTTCATAATGTGCTAAAGGTTAAAATACTCACTGATTGCGTAGGCCTGTTAAGTGACACTTCCTTAAAGGAGTTGGACTCCTAGGTTACTCTTCGGAATCCAGAATCTTTTAAAGTTACTTTTAGATTAATGGAGGTCTTCAACTCTTATTTCTGCCCATATTTAACTCTAACCTAACTTTGTGCTGAACTATTCGGGTTTTCTTGGGTCACATCCAAAATTCCTTTAAAGCTTAAAAAAAAGGGAGGACTGGTTTCCCCCAAGGATTAAACCTCAATATCATCATTTGTAAACTGCAGTTCTTAGGGAGATTAAATGAAATTACTTATGTAAAGAGCTTCATGTGGTGCAGGCCCATAATCAGACCACAACCAAGGGTGACAATTGAGGGAGCCTGCAACAAGCGTTCGCTCCCCTGGCCACCCAACCTGGCAAGTCTGTAACTGTTAGCCTACCACACCCCAGGCAACGGGACCATCCGGAACCAGAGGACCTACGTCAGCACAGGTTTCCTCCTCCGTGCAGATCAGTCACTGAGTTACTGGACTGTTCACTTCACCATTCCCTTTCTTTTTCCTTTTGAGGTTAACCTTTCTTTTTCCTTTTGAGGGCAGAGCCTAGGGACTCTCAGTGAGCCTTTGACAAAAGCGGGCAGGTGCACCTTATCCCATGCAGATCCCATCCTACCCTTCTGAGCCTGCTGCTTCCAATAGAAAACCTCACTATCAGTCCACTGTGTGTTCCCTCCCCCCCCCCAACTTCACCGAAGAGAAAGGAAGAGAGCGGTCCTGGAAGACAACCAAAGGTTCCAAAATCTCTCTCTTCTGCAATAGATCTCCCAGATCACAGCCTGAAGGGGATGTTTTGACTGTTTTGTCCACTTCTACCACGTTCCCGGTTTACTTTTTTTTTTTTTTAAATGGGAGGGTGCTGACTAGAGGGGTTGTTGGCTTTGGATGATCCACTATCTCCATGGCTCGGCACCTGAGGTCCGGAAAGTCTGGGGGTTTCAGGATAAGGCACGGAGAAAGGATGAGAGGATACAGCAGAGATTGGAGGGGAGACTCTCTGGGGCTGTGATAACTCTGAGAGGGCACCGGGGTGAGAAAAGAGCGCTTGTAAGGGCTGAGTCACGACAGGTGAGAGGAGCACTGTGGCATGACTTTCGCCCGCTCCGGCGCGCCCTCCCACCACGAGTCATCCAAGATGGCGCCAGGCCCGCGCGGCTGGAGGTCAGCGGCACACGGAAGGGGCAGATCTTAAGACGCGGGGACACCGGGAGCCAGGAAGGGCGTGAGGACCCGGGTGGGAGCATGCAAGGGACGGGCCTCAAAGCAGCCGCGAGAGGGAGGGTAACCCGCGCGCGTGCGCGGCGCAAGCGGGCGCGAGGGCCCAAACCTTACCTGCTCCCAGTGCAGAGAAGACAGAGAGGGGCGGGGGGGCTGGAAGAGCGACAGGAAGGCTCGGCGCATGCGCGGCCCGGACCAACGAGTCGCTCCGCCGAGGATAGAGTGACTGCATGTTGCGGCGGCTCAGGCGCTACAGCGCCGCCTGCCACCTCGGTGGCGGCATCCGGCCAATCGCTCCACCTGGCGTTGTAGAGGAGGAACTGCAGGCGGAGCGGACTGAAGAAATAAGGCTAACTCCGCCGACCCTTTATGCGGCCTGTGGTACCGTCTGCACAGCATTTGGGATCTTGGATTCGCGCTCCCTTCCCGAGCATGCGTAGTCACATTGAAAGAAAAAAAAAATCTACCTAGTAATTCAATGTTAAATAGCATACAATCAGGATTGGGATTCAGTGCCCAAAATGTAGCGGGGTTCTTGCGTTGTTGCCCCTGGAACTCTGGCAAACCTGTTCAATGGGGAAATAGCAAAACACCCCAGCCATCTCTGGTGGCTTTGCTTTGATCTCCCCCCAATTCCAGTGATCAGCCACGAGGAAACTAGCATCAGCGAACCAGAAGACAGGGACTAAAGATGCTGGGACTCAAGCTCCTGACTCTAACGTTTGAAACTGACCTGCAGTGAGGTTGCGAGGTCACGCCAGGCGTGCCCATTCTCTGCCCAGGCTTCTGAGACGAGCAGACCCCCAGTGAAGTGCTCTCACGAAGACCCCTCAGCTTTCCCCTCGTCCTGTCCCTCTACGGGCTGCGTAAGGAAGTGGGGGCGCCACGGCCCCCCTCGCTTCCTCTGGGCCCCCATCTCCCGCGGGATGTGACAGCCTCTGAAGAGTCGGTGCAAGGCCTGCCCAGCGCCCCCCTGTCCAAACCCCGGCGTCCAGGCGGCGGGCGTGCACGCAGCACGAGAAAGACGGGGAAAGCTCACCAAACCCCCGTAAAAAAATAAAAAATAAAAAAAATGCTGCGGCTGTAAATAAAGCCAAATCCACCGGCCTCGGAGGGGCCGTTTGTCCTCCCCTCCTTGGCCTCGTCCTTCCCGCCGCCCCCTCCCGGCTCCCGGGCCCCGCGGCGCCCCGGCCCCGAGCTCCTCCATTTAATCGGATTTGGGAGAAGGGGAGGATAAATCACGGCAGCAGCTTTACGGTCCCGGAGGAGAGGCGAGCCGCAGCCAGGCACACCCCGGCCGGCGATAAAAACCGCCGCTGAAAGCCCACGGAGCAATTTCCCGGGACCCCGAGCGACGCCATTACAGGAATGTAATTTTGCCCGGATGAGGCCCCGAGTTTAATTATCCTCGCGGAGGAATTTCAATGTGGCCAATCCATCTTGCAGGCGGGCGGCAGAGGGATTTATATGGGCCCGTTATTTCACACCGATCCTCCATCTGCATTTTTATGGCCCCGAGCTCCTGAAAGGGGGGGGGGGGGGGGGAAAGCAGGGAGAGACCGAGACGCGGGCGCAGGGAGCGGGTGGGGCCACCTCCCTCCCTCCCCAAAGCCGCGACTCCAGCTGCATGAGGATTCTCACGGGTTCCCCTAAAACCCCCATCTCCCTCCAGGGCCCGGGGGTGTCTTGGGGGTACGAGGGTGAGTGAGGAATGAAGCCAGAAGCCTTGCGAATCAATCAACAGGTATTTACCGAGGACCAGGCAGGGCTGGGCGCTGCCAGATGCCGAGGAACAAGGGAAGGCAGGCGAGCAAGGGGCCCCTCGGGTCCCCAGACACCCCCACTCCGTCCCTACAGAATGCCTTTGAGCTCGCAGCTCCAGGTCCTCCGAGGCAAAAAACAAAAGTTCACGCTTCTCAGGGCCGCTACCACCAAATGGTTTTGCAGCTGTTGAGGGACACTAGTGATCCTCTCAGATACCGCTGACAATCCCCAAGGAGGTGTGGAGAAGGGGCTCTGAGGGGCTAACGCTGGCTCCCCTCAAAAGCTGTTACAGCTTGCCATGTCCAATCCCCCCTTCCTCCCATTCACCGGGCCCTGGATTCAGACAAACCTCTTTCGCAAATCTCGGCGTGACCTTGGGCAAGCTGGTTAGATGGAGTCCCTTCTATGTGAATGGGGAATAATATTAGTGCATACACCACAGCGAACACTGGGGTAATAAACGTGAAGCTTTTAACAAGGTGCTTGGAACTCAGAGTGTAGCTAATGCTAGTAATAGTAGTAACAGCATTATTACTATTATTACTATTAGTGTTAGCATTGCCATTCAATTCTGCACTGCTCCTCAAGAGGCGTTATTACAAGGTTCTTTCAATGATGGTTGAATATACTCAACTGTAACTTAACTACATTTTTTCACCTACATCAATCATCCAAAACAAGTGATTTGACATGGTTGGTGATTGAAGATCTGGGGGGAAGCCTGAGAATCCTGAGGGTTATTGCTAGTAGGTCCGAAGCCAGATGTTATATCAATAAGGGAACAATGAGATTACAAAAAGTGGACAGAGGTATGTGAGTGAGTGGTGGAAAGATCACTCAGGAGAACATTAGCAAAGGGCCTAGGGATTTTCTTTACTAAGGACTTGGGAAAGAGTCCTTCTCTCGCTTCAATGAGGGGGAAACGGTCCAGGAAGGAAAGGGTGTGGAGCCAGAACTATCCTTCCCAATCAATCCCTTCCTTTTCCTACCAGAC